CAAACAAAGCACTTAAGATATTGCACTGATATTTTGACCCCATTAACAATTTGTACTTCCTTGCTTTTAATCCCAGAATCACCAATAATCACCATCCCTTTTGATGAAGCAGGAATTGACTCAGCTGGACGCTGAAAGCTGAGGTAGGTGGACTGTCAAGCTTAAGTGAGTGTCATCAGCAAGTACTTAGAAAGGTTTTATTTTGTTCCTAATGTCTTTCTAACTTACTAAAAACAACACTGAAATCTTTTGTTTCAGAAATGAGGTAGCCTCCTATATTAAGTTTCAAGGTGTTTCTGAGTGATTCAAGGATGTAATAATGAATTTTTCCATGGGTCTTTATTATCTCAGAAGGAGGCATCTGATAATGTCCACATTTATGGTGATTTAATAATTGTGCTTCTAACATGTCTTCAAGTCTCACATTTAGCTATGGGCATTTGGCCCTTTATTCTTGAGAATTGTAACCTATTACTCTATAGTATATTTATCACACAAAGCATTAGTCTCTCTGCCAACAAATAATAAACATGGCTGTGGTTATGAAATTATAGTGAACCCAGGAGCTGTCTGTCCACCTTGTTACTATTAATACTATATTTGCCTCTGCAGCCACTCTGAAACTCAGCTCTAGACAGTCTTTTTATCTCCCTTAGACCAAGCATCCAACAAAAAGCAGTGAGTGTAACATGAGAACTAATTATTAAGTCAGCGAAGTGTCAAGTCTTCCTTCTATGGTATGTTCTTTTTCCACATTACCTGTTACAGATGACAAATTGCTCTTTTGTTTTAATAACAAGACAAAAAGTTTGTCTTTTTAAGAGTTAATTCAATTGTTATGATGATGAATTTTTCTAGTAGCCAAAACACTATTTGCCTTTCAAATTAACAAAGAATACAGATGTAAAGGAAAGTAATAAAGTTTGACTCCCTCTTCTTTTTAAGACAACACATTGGAACAGCAACAATCTTTAACCTAGTATAAAGATTGTTTCCTAATGTTTATGCCAGCAACCATGAAGTTTCCAGTGTCAGAAACTCCCTAAAGAGTTTTAAATACTTGTTTAAATTGTTTATACATTATAAAAGTGGAGCTAATTAACTTATACATTTCCACTTGTATGTTTAAACTCTGAGAATTTATTCTAACACCATTCACCACAAAATGTCATCCAACCTAAGGCAGGTTCCTAAAGAATAATCATTAGGAACTGCATCTGAGAGGACCATTATAATATTCCAAGTCATCCTTCATGATGTGCTCTCAGGACTAAGGTTTAATGGAACCTTAATGGGATGTGAAAAAAAACCAAAGTAAAAAATTATGCTCTCTGAAAATATGCTAAGAACTTGGCAATGTTTTTTCTCAAAGCATTTACCTTAAAAATTTAAGTAAAAAGTTTTAAATGTTAGTACAAGAGATGCCAATTATATGAAATTTATTACTTCCCTCAAATATTTTAATCATGTAATTTAAAATAAATTCAATGTGGACCATTAGAACTCTAAGTTGAAGACTGGGAGCAAGCCATCCTCCAGGATACACAAAATTGGGTGGGATCCATTCTGTGAAACTATAGGGACCAGTAAGTAGTACAGCTAAGCAACCAGTGGAACTAAGTATAGATGTTAATGGACTTTTCAGGAGGTTTTTGAAAGATACGGGGAAGTAAAGGAAAAATGAAAGAATGATGAGGATAAAGATAGCATAAAAAGAGTAAGAAAAAACATGCCTATGAAAGACCATGAAAGTGTGCCACCAGGGACTCCTCAGAGCCACCCACACTCTGAGGGTTGCCTACCCCTAATCTCATACCACATTTTCTATTCAGTTTTCCACTGATTTAACATCAAAAGTCATCTGGACATAGGACAGTTTAGAGTAACATTGGCATAAATTAAAATAGTCTTAAATGCAGCTAAGAGGACTAGAATTATCAGAAGTAAACATGTTTACTTTATAACTAAGTGTACATTTAAAAGTGTGGGAAATTGAAGCTAATAGTATTAAAGGTTTCTCCACACTTGGGCAGAACCGATGGGATTGTCTGCAAACATGTATAAACAGATAATATGGATCACGAAGTGTAAATGAAGTCTTGTCTCTATTTACTTACAGAGTTTGAAGCTTAATACAAGAACTATGCAATTTTCAGTGGAAATGACAAGTCTTGTAGCAGGGCTATAGAGTAAACATTGCAACTATGATAAAAGAGATTAACAGATTTTGAGTAAGGTATAATAATCTGGTTGGTATATTATTAATATTACTTAATTAGTGGATCCTAACACTATCTGCTGCAATAAAAGTTAACCAAAACATTTCTGGAAGCTTCTTTGGCATCTGTTAAAATAGTATCTGATCCAGAGTTTGTATAAAGAGGAACAATTGCTCCCTTTCTTATGTTATTGTTGGTCTCAAATGCCAGAACATTTTGAATTTGAGAATTTTCTGAGTCCTATCAGAAATAGGATGATGAGATAAAAAAGCAAAGTTCTGACTCTGTATTCTTTTCCTCTCAGAAAAGTATCTGGATTGGACAAAAAAAAAAATTTAGGCTTATCAGGTCACTTTATACAATAGTAACATTGTTTTCAGAAATTAGAAAGGGTTTACTTTGACTAAAGTAATAGTTCTTGATTTAAAACACAAATTTTTATGAATATTAAAATATTCATTTTCTTGATTTGTATATTTTAGACTTTTAGAACTTTTCCTTCCAAACATGTTACTAAATATGTATTTTATGGAATTTAGCATCTTACCTTTATACTTTTTCTTTTTAACTTAATATGATTATAGCAGAGTACTCTCCACAATTATAGTGGAGCTTTTTCAGTATTACAGATCCAGTTTGATTCATTCCATTAAACTGAAAACTATGTGTGTGTAATATTATATACACAAACACAATATTCTGAGATCTAAGTTTTATTATAAATATTTAAGTCACTTTGCTCTTTTTTTTTGAGATAGAGTCTTGCTCTGTCACACTGGGTAGAGTGCAGTGGCATCATCGTAGCTCACTTCAACCTCAAACTCTTGGGCTCAAGTGATCCTCCTGTCTCAGCCTCCCAAGTAGCTGGGACTACAGGTGCGTGCCACCATGCCTGGCTAATTTTTTCTATTTTTGGTAGAGATGGGAGTCTCGTTCTTGCTCAGGCTAGTCTCGAACTCCTGACCTCAAGCGATCCTCCCGTCTCGGCCTCCCAGAGTGCTAGGATTATAGGCATGAGCCAGCGCGCCTGGCCCACTTTGCTATTTTAGTATGGAAACTAACCAAGCAAGACAAGTCTTGGGGTTCCAGATTATTGCCTTTTTTTTTTTTCCTCTCTAAAACTGGCCAAATTTTGAAAAGAAAAACATTTTGGAGGTCTTTACAGAGTAAATTTTCCATTTTTGAAATACCCTTTCTGTAAAATTTGGAGGGTTATCTTTAGGACTCGTGTTAAAACTATAAACAAATATTAACATTTATAATGGCATGTTTGATGATTGGTGTTAGCTGTATTTTTTTTTAACTTCTCAAAAGCACTAATTATAACAAGGAAGTAACATTGTATGTAACTGAACATGAATGAAGAATTTGTTAACATAGTACATTTGTCATGTCTAAATCATTTTCTAAAAGCTTAAAATAAGAACATGAAAGAGCAGTATGGTCAAAATGTAGATTTTTTTTCTGCAACGGAACCTTCCACAGACAAATTACCTAAGTCCCCTTATGAAATATGGAACTATTAGAAGTACTAAGTTGTGACTGTGTATGGCACAGTAAGTTAATGAATGTCTTCCCAATCAATCCCCCTTTAAAAAGTATTCATTTTTAAAGGTCTGAAATACTAAAGTAAAAATTCAGGGATATAGGAAACTGTCTCTGTTTTTGTAAATGAGTATAGGGCATGGCATGACTTTGCTTCGAATTTTAGGTCCTCAAACTAATAGCTTTCTTATGATTATACGTAAATGGAAAAAAATAATGGGTGTGTCAATGGGGAGCATACTAAGATAAATTCATATGTATGCAAATTTTTACCAGAAAGTTTTGGAAATGTAGGACTTGGTTCTTTGTATAAGTACTTTAACCTTTTAAGACTCATAAATTTCGTAAACCAATTCAAGCGATTGTTTCTATCAGAAATAGCTATTTTCTTCACAATTATAAACGGTTTTGCCCCTTCCCCCAATTTGTGCCTGTAGTTGCCACTTGATAACATGCCCAGTAAGACTTTGTTTAAATATCAGGTCCTAGTACTAACAATTCGAGAAGTCAGAAAAATTCTAAGTTAAAATTGCAAGGATGTCTTTCATGCATTCTATTTCACTTTATTGTTACAATTTAAACAAATTCAGAAATTTGGGGTGCTTTTGGCTACTTAAGTATAATAAGACACACTGCAAATGCAAAGGGAACAATGTCATAAACTTAAATAGAAGAAATGCCTGATTTCTGAACAGCTCTGCCCTACGAACAGGATCCTTTTCATCTCACATGTTGATTCTAAACACGTCGTTAGCGTGTTCCCAGAAGGTCCCTCGACATTAGAGCAAGTCAGAATACCTTAATTTCATAGCTTATTTAACAGCAGGCAAGCTACTTTAACATAGGCTTGAGGTTTAGGTAGATTTGGTATTATTTAGAATTCAGGCTTAAATTTTGCAAACATTTTTTGGAAAAAAAATTTTCCAAAGAACAGAAGAAATTAAAACAGAGGTACCAGAACTAAAGATACACCATGTGAGACAACAAACAAAATATTTCCAGTCCTAACCAAACTGCAACCTTTTCAGTATAGCTTGAGGTATTTTTAAATATTTATACAAGCTAAATAGCATTCACAGTTTCCAAAGTTGCTTTTTACTGAGATAGCTTCAAATTTTCATAATATTCGACTTTCAGACATGTTTTCAATGTGCCAGAGTGCCAGACAGCTAATCAGTGGCAGAAAATGGTTTTTGTAGTAATAAGGGTTCTATTTCCCAATTACTGTGCTATTCCTAGCATGTGATTAAAAAAATAAGAAATTTGCGATTCATATAAAAGGAAAACTTGCTTAAAATTCGAAAGCAAGTCCAGTCTGGCAGAGGTATATAAGACATTAAATAATAGAATCGGATTCTTTCTTGAAGATTCCAGATGAGCTTGACAGCAGAGAGTTCTGGTTCTCCAACATTTTCTCCATCTTTTCTCCTCCAGTGGTCTTACTGATCTCTCTTTGCTTCTTACTATGGATCCATGGAATAAAACAAAGCACAGCACCTCCAATAAGGGGAGGGATCCCAGCGAGGTAGAATGACACATCATAGGAGCCCAGCTTGTCACGAAGTAACCCTGAGAAGGGAAAAAGCTGTCACCAAGAGAGAATAAGTGTGCTCTTAGGGGTCTCAGATCAGTTACACCGATGGCCTAGTCCCAGCCTAATTCCACCTCAAACATCTCAGATATCAGACATTTTTTAGGAAATGGATCTGAAATATAAATCTTTTCTAATATGAGAGAGGAAAAGATCTCATATCTTTAATTTGGTCACAAAGTACAGGCTTTTAGGTTTTCATACCAAGTTACTACTATAAAAGAATATTTGTAACCAAGCTTTGCATTTCTCAAACCCCCTTAGAGGCCAGTGGGGGCATTCTGACATAGGTGTAAGTATCCTTTTTTTTTTTTTTTTTTTTTTTGAGACAGAGTCTCATTCTGTTGCCCCGGCTAGAGTGTCGTGGCATCAGCCTAGCTCACAGCAACCTCAAACTCCTGGGCTCAAGCGATCCTCCTGCCTCAGCCTCCCGAGTAGCTGGGACTACAGGCATGCACCACCATGCCTGGTTAATTTTTTCTATATATATTTTTAGCTGTCCAATTAATTTCTTTCTATTTTTGGTAGAGACGGGATCTCGCTCTTGCTCAGGCTGGTCTCGAACTCCTGAGCTCAAACGATCCACCTGCCTCGGCCTCCCAGAGTGCTAGGATTACAGGCGTGAGCCACCGCGCTCAGCCTGTAAGGATCCTTAATTCAGCTGAAGGTGGACAGACCACTTAGCTGAAACTTCTTTCATACACACGTAACTCCAAATGTGTCTACCTTTCAAACTGTTCTTGGACCTAATTGTTTGCTTATGAAATAACGGGAAACTATTTTAAATTACAATCCAAAATCATGAAAAATTATAAATCTAAGAGGATGAAGTTAGGTAGTTAAATACATTAAACAATATTAACATTAAAACATAACATAACAGGCCAGGCACAGTGGCTCACACCTGTAATCCCAGAACTCTGGGAGGCTGACGTAGGAGGATTGTCTGAAGTCAGGAGTTCAACCAGCCTGAGCAATGGTGAGATCCTGTCTCTGTGAAAAATAGAAAAATTAGCTGGGTGGGGTGGTGCATGCCTGCAGTCTCAGCTACTAGGGAGGCTGAGGCAGGAGGATCGCTTGAGCCTAGGAGCTTGAGATTACAGTGAGCTATGATCACACCACTGCACTCTAGCCAGGGCAACAGAACAAGACTCTGTCTCAAAACAAAACAAAACAAGCCCCCCAAAAAACAAAAAATGTAACATTAAAACATAATATAACATTAAAATATAAGGACGTATTTGTGGCACTAATTCTGAAAACTATTATTTAGAGTACTTATTATTTCTAATTTCTCTAACAAATACCAGGACTCAGGTTTGGTGTTTATTTTTGTTTGTTTGGAGATAGAACCTTGCTCTGTCACCTGGCTACAGTGCAGTAGTGTCGTCGTAGCTCACTACAACCTCAAACTCCTAGGCTCCAGCAATCCTCCTGCCTCAGCCTCCTGAGTAGCTGCGACTACAGGAGCGTGCCACCATGCCCAGCTAATTTTTGTATTTTTTGTAGAGACAAGGTCTTGTTATTAATCAGGCTGGTCTCAGACTGCTTACCTCAGGCCATCCTCCTGCCTTGGCCTCCCAGAATGCTAGGATTACAGGCATGAGCCACAGAACCCAGCTGACCAGGGTTTTAAAATTTATCTTAGTGTTTTTGAACTTTTGTAACTTTTACTATAAGACTTCAGTTATCTGAAATGTCCAGGGAACATACTACACTTAATATCCGTGTGATGTAAGGCCGGGCGCGGTGGCTCACGCCTGTAATCCTAGCACTCTGGGAGGCCGAGGTGGGCGGATTGTTTGAGCTCAGGAGTTCGAAACCAGCCTAAGCAAGAGCGAGACCCCATCTCTACTAAAAATAGAAAGAAATTAATCAGACAACTAAAAATATATAGAAAAAAATTAGCCGGGCATGGTGGCGCATGCCTGTAGTCCTAGCTACTCGGGAGGCTGAGGCAGGAGGATTGCTTGAGCCCAGGAGTTTGAGGTTGCTGTGAGCTAGGATGACGCCACAGCACTCTAGCCCAGGCAACACAGTGAGACTCTGTCTCAAAAAAAATTAAAAAAAATATCCCTGTGACTTTGTTAAATAGCTGAGCATTTGTCTAGTTAAGTACCAACACACAAAAATGTGTACATTCATTCTGCATACAAACATAAAATATACAATACCTGTAAATACACAATTATTCTATTTTTTGAATCAGACTATTCCATGTATAACTGAACCTTTCATTCTTAGGAACATTAGTGATTATGTTTTTCTGTAATACTACAAGGCACCCAGAACCTACTGGTCAGCTAGGGGCTTTCTGCTTTTGGTTCCCATGTGGTGTTATTCAGTTTGGGGAGTTTCCTTTACCTCCCTTATTCTTGGTCTGTTAACAGACACTTCGGGCAGCAAACATCATTACTGCTAAAGTGCTACTTGTAATCTGCTGTGAACTTGGAAACTGTAAAACCAAGCCTGTAGGGTATAAAAAAAAGAGTGAACAGTATATTACCTGGGGAGAGAAAAAGGAGTGGAGGGTTCTCCACAGGGAGACTGTGACCTTTTAAACTTAAACTCTACTTGTTCTGCTCAGTAGTAACTCTGCTTGCTTGATTTATGACTGGAAATATAGTTCAGGGTTTGAGAATGAATTAAACTGGATTTCACTAAGCTCCTCATGTGCCAAATGCAGATGATGGTACATACATTTAAATTTTATCATAATTGTATCAAATATTCCAATACTAATTCACACCAGCACCCAAGTAATACTGAACATGAGATAGCTTTATACTGTTATTCAGAGGATTTCTAAAGGCAGAATTCACATAACATAAAATTAGCCATTTCAAAGTGAATTCAGTGGCATTCAGTACATTCACAATGTTGTGCAATTATCACCTCTATCTAGTTCTAAAACATTTTCATCATGCCAAAAGGACGTTCCATCCCCATTCAGTAGTTATTCCCCAATCCTCCTTCCTTCCATCACCTGGCAACCATTAATCTGTTTTCTGTCTGTATGAATTTACCTATTCTGGATATTACACGTAAAAGGAATCACATAATATATGTGTTCTTTCATATTTGGCTTCTTTTACTTAGCATAATGTTCTTGAGGTTTACCCACATGGTAGGTAACATGCATCAGTACAGTACTTTATTTCTTTTTATGGCTAAATAATATTCCACTGTGGATATACCCCATTGTGTTTAATCTACTCATCCATTGATGGACATTTGGGTTGTTTCCAGTAAATGTTATTTTTCATCAACTATTCTTCAGGGGGCTGTACGATCTCTTACACAAAGTGTACATATTTGGAAATTTTTCAGAACCTTCATCTTTTTAAAAAAACATGTTCCCATTCTTCTAAAGCACATACTAAGTGAAATATATGAATTGCAAATGCTTAAAGCTCAGAAACTTCCTTTTATACATTTTATTGAGTGTTTTAGATGCCAGTAAGGATAAGGGGGACTCCCCAGCAAACTTTTTCAATATGCCATCTACATCTAGTCTTACAAAAAATGTTAACAGATAAGGCACACATAAAAGCAAAAGACCAGGCCGGGCGTGGTGGCTCACACCTGTAATCCTAGCTCTCTGGGAGGCCAAGGCAAGCGGACTGTTTGACCTCAGGAGTTCGAAACCAGCCTGAGCAAGATTGAGACCCCGTCTCTACTAAAAATAGAAAGAAATTAATTGAACAACTAAAAATATATAGAGAAATTAGCCGGGCATGGTGGCGCATGCCTGTAGTCCCAGCTACTTGGGAGGCTGAGGCAG